GCGCACCGAATTCCCGCTCTGGACGCGACGGGGGCTCAACGGAAATTCGGCTGCTCTCTCATTGGTCAGAATAAACGGTTACCTGATTGGCTCTCGCGTGGCGCGCAGCTACATCATTGGACGAAATCATTACAGGAAGTCTAAAACTCTTCGGATAAGAAATATGACACATAACTAAAGAAACATTGGTACCGATCAATATCAAATAATAAAATAGTCATTACAAATCAGTATCATAACTAAATAGCACTAAACACGCGACAACAAACCAAGGACATTATTGCAGCACAGGACGAATTTAGAGTTGCCACTTTCACTTCTGGTAGGCCCAGTATCCGCTCGCATAACATGTAAGCGGAAATCCGCTTACACCCTTCCTCCCTAACGCGAAGAAACTTCTCGATTATTTACACATACAATACAACGCATCGACCTACGAACAAAGGAACTTTTTTTTTTAACTGGACGGCTAAACATGTTCGGTCTCAACTGAATAACTCCGTATTGCAGCTCAGCTCGTGCGCTTCTCCATTCGCTAGAGAACTACCTAGGTGCCCATTGTACAGAGGTAACACTAAGGCTCGCTTGCAGCTGTTCTTACTACGATAGGAATCACAAGTCAAGTTATCGCCCAATGTCATTGCCTTTCACCCAGTATTAAACATTAAAAACGACAGCAGCACACAGCAGCTCTGTGTGATAGGTACCCACAACGGAAAATCACGGCGAATACCTGTCGGGAGGAATGACTACTCGTGTTGACCTACGCAATTCGGGACTGCGCATATCTGCGGTAACCTGAGTGTTCGCCACGTCGGGCGGCACCTCTGCTGCTCCAGTCGGAGCTGAACCTGCTATCGGTTCTGCGACTCCCTCTGGCGTCTCACGTGTCTCACGCGCTGTCTCTGTCTGAACTGGGAGTGTCTGCGGGGCGAAAGATATGGCGAACGGATTCAGCAGGGACAGGGCCGGCGGTCCTGAGTCGTCAAGACTAGCGGCGTCAGCTGGTTGGCAACTAGGCCTACCTTCACACTGCGCACCACTTACCCGCTGATTGTCACTGACACCATCCATCCTCCTTCGGCCTGTCGGAAAGGTCACGCCTGCTGCTGTCCCGACAGCCGGCTGTGGTCTCGCGGCGGGGTCCGCCCGTGAGACGGACGCTGTCGGTGCGGTCACCGGTGACTCACCTTCTCCGGTATCCACTCGAGGCTTCAACCTGTTGTGGTGTACGATGAGCGTAGACCTAGCTCCTTCTAGTCTGATCCTATAGTTCAGAGGACCGACCTGATCTACTACTACTGCTCTCTTCCAAGGACGCAAAAACTTATAATACTGACCGCGCGGAACGATTCCCTTATGCAGATACACTTTGTCTCCAGGTAGGTAACTATTCTCATTTAGCTTTCTATCATAAATCTCCTTATTCTTCTGATGACTTCTGTTCGAGTTCTCTAGTGCTACTGGGGCTTCACTGAGGGCTTTGCGAAGCCGGTCGAACGAGAACTGCGCCTCCTCTGACCACTGGAACTTCACGTCTTTCTGCAACAGCTTGAAGAGCGGTGCAGAGATGCTCGCAAAATTTTTGACAAATTTGCGCATGTAACCAGCCAGCCCTAGGAATGAGGAGAGCTGCTTGGCTGTCCGCGGAATCGGCCAGTCGCGCACTTTGCTCACACGGTCGGGGTCGAGAGACAAGCCACTCTCATCCACCACATGTCCCAAGAATTTGACACTCGAACGGAACAGGGAGCACTTTTCCAGATTGATCGTGAGACCGGCTCGGTGGAGCCTGTCTAGAACTAGCTCGAGCTTCTCAAGTGTCTCCTCGAACGTCTTACCACCCAAACAAACATCATCAAAGTAGGAATGACACGTGCCCTTGGGAAGATCGCGCAAAACAATATCGAGCATGCGGGCGCAGCTAGCCGCGGCACCATTGAGTCCCATCGGGAGCCGAAGGTGCTGCCAAGCGCCGAACGGGGTGACGATAGTCGTTTTAGGACGATCCTCTTCTCTTACACCGATTTGAAAGTAACACATGCGAAGATCAAGCACACAGAACATTGAATTTCCACCCAGGGAATCTAGAATCGTGTCTATTCTGGGGACAGGATAAGCAGGCATCTTAGTCACAGCGTTAACCTTTCGGAGGTCAGCACAGATCCGGACTCGTCCATCTTTCTTTGCGACAAAGCATGCAGGACTACTCCAATATCCATTCGACTCTTCCAGAACCCCTAGATCCACCAAGCGTTGTATCTCGGCCCTTACCTTATCCTCCAGGAATGGTGGGACGCGATGGGGTGCTGAACGTATCGGCGGACTGTCACCTGTGTCGATGTGATGCTCCACCGCGGATGTGAAGCCCAACCGACCATCAAACATGTCACTATATTTGGTCAGCAGCTCGGTCACCTTCTCCTTCTGCTCCTTACTGAGGTCTGTGTCTGACAGGTCTATCTTTTCACGCCAATTGGGATCTGCGTCACCTGAAGGGACTGGAAACTCAGCCACGCCAACTTCCAGTCTACCGATCTCCGCACGCTTGGGGATCGTGACCGGCTCAGTTGTAATGTTTCTCACAATACACGGAACACTCTGACCGTTTACCTGCACCATGGAAGGAACCAACTCGAGTCCCGGGACTTCAAGCAATGGCTCGCACAGTGCTGGCCCTCTGAAGTCGACGTTTGGAACAAAACCTGGAAAGAAAACCTCGTGTCCGGCCGGAACCGCGATGTCTCTCTGACAAATCACCTTACCCACCGAGAAGACTGAAGCGGAGATGGTTCTGACCATTTTCGCAGAGCTGAGGATCAGCTGACTCTTGGTGAGATCCAGAACACACGGGCACACGCCAAAGAACTCCAATCCCAACAAAACAGTGCAGTCAATCTGATCCGAAACATAGAATGGAACCACCACTACTTCTCCAGCAACTTTAACGGCAATCTGTGTACGACCGATCAGTGGTAGGGGGTCCCTGCTAACCGTGTGTGCCACTGTGGCCGTAGTGAAAAGGGGAGGGGCCTTGGGGAGCACATCAAAAACGGATTTGTGAATGATATTAATGCTGCTGCCGGTGTCCAGCGTCACTGAACACGTCACACCTCCCACATCAGCGTCAAATGTCATGTCAGCATTCAAGTGGACTGTCCTCTCACCTGCTCGGGCTGCAACGACTGGGCCATCCGGGGCGGCTGCAACGGCTGCGGCCGCTGGTCCTGTGGTCTGGCATCCCACTGATGTGGACCTGGTCCCCGCTGGAACCCTGAGACTGGGGTCCGCTGCTGCTCGGGTCTGGGGTCGGGGCCGGGCCCAGCCCGCTGGGGGTTTACCTGCTGCGTGCACATCCGGGCCAAGTGTCCTTTGGTCCCACACACATGACACGGCAGGTGCCTTTGCCGACACCGCGCCTGGTTGTGACCGGGCCTCCCACAACAGAAGCAAGTACGGCCGCTGCTGGACACTGGGGGAGAACGAGCGCTTACCTGCGGACGCTCCAGTCGCGAGAGTTTCAACTCCAGCTCCTGAACTTTCCGACGAAGTAGGTCTGTCTCGTCTGTAGCCGCTACTTGCCGAACCGTCTGGCTCGCTGCCACCTTCGCGGCGCATGAGAGGTTTCTCACCTTTGCCACCGCACTGTCGAACGTCTGGATGCCCTCGCCTATTAGCGCTTGTTGATATGTCGGTGGCAGTGATTGGAGGAAGTAATTGTACAGCAAGGGGTCATGATCGGTATGTCGGGTGTCGGGAAATGCGCGACTGACTAGCCCTCGAAGCTTCACCACAAAAGCATCAAGGCTGTCATCTGTTGTGAGTCTCAAAGACCGGAGCTGGACCTGTGCCTCGACTTTGTCGCCGGAGGGGAAAGCCAGTTCCAATCTCTTGCACGCGTCGCCTACCTTCTTCTTGCACTCGGTCGGGAAGGCATCATAGGCGTCCCTCGCAATTCCGGACAAGCACAGAGGCAGCAGAGCTACTTTTTTATCGTCATCCCATCCTTGTAGGACTGCAAACGTGTCAAAGTCCGCGATGAAACGAGAGACACTGCCCTTACCGGCGAAAGACGGCAGACCGACCGATAGTGACTGCGTCGCCATGCTGAATGTCAAATTTGGCACACTTCCAACGGAAAAAAAAATCGGTGATGTAAGGGGAACCGCAGAGTCGTTAATACGGAAAGTAATTCAACAAGTTACGCTAAAATTAAATGCTCAAATTACTGCGAGAAAGGCGATGGAAAGGACGTTTTACAATGGAAAAAGAAATCGTAGAGCCAGTGTTACCTCGTTACAGTGAGACCGCAACACTTTACCAGCAACCAACATCACACCTTCCCAAACCAAGCACATACATGACACTCAGTATCAATGAAACACCCTTGTCACCACTCATATCCCCAACCACCAAATGTTTATGTCCACGTCAGCCCAGTTTGGCACACCTCAGCTTCAAATGTCCACGTGCGTCTTCATAAGGGGGGGGGGGGGAGGGTAGTGCGCGCATTGTCACCGGAGAATACCACGCACGGCGTCCTCGGCAGGGGGGGGGGGAAACACCTGAGTCTCCGGGGGGTCAGAAGGTGCTCGTGTCCGCAACAGGGGGGAGTGCACTCGTCCCAGTCTCCATCGGGAGTGGCCGGTAGTCCTCGGACCGCGAGGCAGGATTACCCGCTCCAACAATGGTCAAAGGGCGATCGCTTAGATCGGGTGACACAAACGTTCAGGCACATCCCGCTATCGGATTCAGGCACATCCCGCTATCGGATAAGTCCGAACTGGATAGGTCTCACCGGCGTGTAGACGTTGAGCAGTCAGCTGTCGCGCTCGGAGAATCTTATACTGACGCCAGATGTAGGCCGTCGCGCTCGGAGAATCCTACTGACGCCAGATGCAGGCCGTCAAGCTTAGGCCGTCGAGCTCAGAGCATCCCACCGCTGCCACCAGATGTAAGCGTCTAGCCCCGGCCGCTGGCGTCAGAGGCACACGCCGAACTCGGAGCCAACCAAGCGTGTATTCAGCAGACAAACAAACAAACTGAAACGCCCTAGAAAGAAAAGACAAACAACTGTCACAATCCCGACACATACAAAGCCGGCACGAAATATCAAAACCCGTTATTAGAGAATGTGAAATAAAATAAACAGTAATTATCACGAAAGTTGAAACCCACCGTTCAAGCAGGCGCAATCCAAGCACATCTCGATCCTCGCCATGTCGCGGCGCACCGAATTCCCGCTCTGGACGCGACGGGGGCTCAACGGAAATTCGGCTGCTCTCTCATTGGTCAGAATAAACGGTTACCTGATTGGCTCTCGCGTGGCGCGCAGCTACATCATTGGACGAAATCATTACAGGAAGTCTAAAACTCTTCGGATAAGAAATATGACACATAACTAAAGAAACATTGGTACCGATCAATATCAAATAATAAAATAGTCATTACAAATCAGTATCATAACTAAATAGCACTAAACACGCGACAACAAACCAAGGACATTATTGCAGCACAGGACGAATTTAGAGTTGCCACTTTCACTTCTGGTAGGCCCAGTATCCGCTCGCATAACATGTAAGCGGAAATCCGCTTACATATATTGTAAACCTGTCCTGTTAATCAAAACATTTTTGTGCCTTCCAAGGTGTGTTCTGTGGTGTGTTCGGAGTTATGCTATATGGCCGTTTTTGTTGTACCGTAAAACGGGGTGTTAAGGGACAGTTTTGAGGTGTTTTGTTATGTAACTCAAGAAGGGTTGGAGATAGAAGCATCAAATTGTCAGCATTTTATGTGGAATTTGGTGCTTTACATGCCTGCCACATTAAAGTTTTTAAGATTTATACCTGCATATTATTTTTTATTATTTTTCATCACTGTCCCTTAGCACCCCAATGTGGGGTGTTAAGGGACACCTATATTATTCCAAGAAATGGTCATCAAATGCCCACAATTGGGGTGTGGAAGGGCACACAATTTATTTATTGACATGTTTTGCATATTCTGTCACAAAACAAGTCAGGTTCATTCACCACTAATGACCTTTTTAGCCAATTACGTGTAATGCAGTTTACGCTTGTGGAAAATGTGCTAATTATAAGGTAAACAGAACCAAAAAGTAATCTTCTGTCATCAATAAAAACCCATGTTGAAGCTAGTCACTTGTCATTATGTTGCCCTCTTTGTTTTAGCCTTTTTATTGCAAATTGGGCAAATAGACTTCGTCGCGCGCTTTCGTTGAGGACGGTCGTGTTTATCGAGCTCCTAAATCAGCACCACTCAGCACACACTCCACTACTACCGGCAATATTATTGTTATAGTTTGATTCTGAAGAATTATTAACGAAAAGCTAGTTCATAAGAATTATAAGCTCCAAAAAGAAGAACAATTTGATACACAAAGGAAATGACTCTGCAGCATTCACCGCCACCGAAACGCAAAAACAAAAAGCAACCACTAGGTTCGGTAGCGTCTGCGACTCATGCTACGACTGATTCGCCTGATTCAAACGGGGTCTCGGTGGCCTCAGCGGCATCACAATCGTCTGCAGGTGAAAAGGCTGGTGGATCTGCGGATTTTCAAGCTACTCAATTGGTGGGTGAGATTGATTCTGCAGGTGAAAGTGCTACTGGAGGTCAAGCAGGAAGTCAAATTGCTGCTGAAACAGCAAGGGTGAGTCAGAGTTCTGGTGGGAAGAAAGGAAGGGACATAAAACGCTTAGACAGTGACGTTTACAAGCTATGGGGAACTCGTTCCAGATCAAACAGCGAGACCTGTAGTGATAGGGAGGATGGAGGTACTATCTGTAAGGGTGGACCTGGGCAAATGACATGTGGAAAGGAAGTCAAGGATGGGGAGCCAGGCGTGCAGTGCGAGGCCTGCATGCGGTGGTTCCATGCTGATTGCCAATCAATTCCAAAAGCGGCGATTTCCGCTCTGCAGAAGTTCAAAATTTTGACATGGCTCTGTGCGGCATGTAAACTGTCCATTGTGAATGCAAGGGATTCCAACGGGGCAAGTCTGCGTCAGTTCATGCAGCTCGAGTCAAAGGTTGACCGCCTTGAGGACACTGTCAAAACAACTCTACAGGAGATCCACGACACATTGTCAAAACAAGCTGAAGCAGCTAGCACGCAGTCAAAGCAGGTCGAACAAGCTATTCAGGCAGTGGAGCTTCAGAAAAATACCTATGCTCAGGCAGTGAAAGGTACCTGTAATGATATGGTGAAGCAGGTCACAGCCAGGCTAGATGCTATCCCTAAACCTGCCCAGCAGAAACAAAGCATCAACACAGCAGAGGAAATATCAGGAGTGTTTGACAACTTCCTTGATCGGGAGAAGAGGAAGTTAAACTTAGTCGTGCACAATCTGGAAGAGAGTAGTGGGGACAGCAATGCAGAAATCCTTCAGCAGGACACATGCAAGTTTGTAGACCTGGTTAAGAAAGGCTTGAGGATAAATGTCAGAGTTACAAAAGCTTTCAGAGTGGGTAAGAAACTGCCCACTAAACCCAGACTGCTGATTGTGAGCATGGAAAACATGGAGGTCAAAACAGACATACTCAAGATGGCACACTGCTTACGACAATCAACAGACTACAGCAACATCTACATAACCCCAGACCTGACATGGAAGGAGAGGGAAGAAGGAAAACGGCTGAGGGCTGAGCTGACAAGGCGGAGGGACGCCGGTGAGACAAATCTTGTGATAAGAAGGGGCAAGATCACCCAGCTCTCCATGAAGATGTTGGACACTGGTTCTGGCCACCAGGATGCTGAAAACTCTGGAGTTGCTCAAGAAGCTGGCGGCTCGGTATCTGCTGGCAGGGAAAGCAGGGAGACCAGTCCCCATGGAGTCTTAGAGAGAGTGAAGGGGGTGACTCAGCAGAGTGACTCAGGTACAGCTGTTGGAGGAATCACAGGTGAGACCAGTTCTGCTCACGGTGTGGCTGGCCAGAAGGTCACTGCAGAACCACCCCAGGCTTGACTACAGGGAAGGTCAGTGAAAATGAGGCTGAATGAGAAGCTCAAAGTAATATATACAAATGCAGATCAGCTCACTAATAAAAGAGATGAACTGTGCATGTTTATAGCTGACAGAAAACCGGATGTAATTCTTGTGACTGAGGTTATTGCTAAAGCACAAGTCAACCCAATTGCGCCTGCCCTACTCGCTATCCAAGACTATACTCTCTACACAAATTTTGATCTCTCAGAAATGAACCTGGGCAGAAGCGGAGTAAGAGGTGTAGCTATTTACACTCACCACAGTTTACATGTGGCAGAAGTGATTGTTGGCATGCAAAACTACAGAGAACAGCTATGGTTAGAGATGCCCCTGGCTGGACCCGATCGTCTCCTAATAGGATGCCTCTACCGTAGTCCGACCAGTGATGGAGTGGGCTCTGTGGAGGTGTTGGCAGACATATTTAGTCAAGCAGTGTCAGCTGGGTACTCGCATGTTGTAATTGCTGGAGATTTTAATTTGCCAAGCGTGGACTGGAGCCTGGGTCTTTCATCAGCGCCTGCCACCCATTACTCACACACGTTTGTCAATGCCGCCCAGGATTGCCTTCTCCACCAGCACATTACACAACCTACCCGTTTCAGGGTAGGAGAGGAACCTCACACACTAGACCTTATTTTTTCAAACGAGGAAGGTATGGTGCAGAACATTGACTTCCACCCAGGGCTTGGTAAGAGTGATCATGTGATAATATCATTTGACTTGGAGTGTTACACCCAGCGGTCAGAGCCATCAGGTAATACCCTGAATTTCCACAAGGCCAACTTTGACCGAATGAATCTGCTTATGAGTTCAGCAGACTGGGAAGATCACATGCCCAAGACAGTGCAAGCAAGGTACAATCACTGGAAGAAGATCATAGAGGAAGCAACTGACAAGTGTGTGCCACCTGCCCTGCCCAAAGCAGCAAAGAAGAACATCTACATCAACCGTGAGGCCCTGAAGCTGAAAAAGAGGAAGAGAACACTCTGGTTCAAATATGTGCAATCGAAAGACCCCATTGACCATGCCCGCTTTGTCCGATGCCGCAACGACCTCCGTCGGCTGACCAGAAATCTCCGTAGCAACTTTGAGAAGAGGCTTGTTAGAGAAGTCAAGGGGAATAAGCCCTTCTGGCGTTATGTCCACTCCAGAATGAAAACCCGGACCGGAGTAGAGGACCTCAAGCAAGCAGATGGTTCACTGGCTTCAAACAATGAGGACAAAGCAAGAGTGCTAAATGCGTTTTTCAGCAGCGTCTTCACTGAAGAACGAGATGATGTCCCAAGAATGCAAAATGGCTATTCTGGGTCAGACCTTGACATTCCAGAAGTGACACCAGGACTAGTAGAAGCCAAGCTGAGGATGCTGAAATCTTCTAAGTCTCCTGGCCCTGATGGGATCCACCCAAGAGTTCTTGTTGAGACTGCCCACAACATCGCCCGACCACTATCTCTTCTCTTCAACGAGTCTCTGCAGACAGCAGACCTACCCCTGGACTGGAAGGCAGGTGAGATCGTCCCGATATTCAAGAAGGGCAACAAACAATCTCCTGCAAACTACAGACCAGTGAGTTTGACGGCAATTCCGTGCAAGGTCCTCGAGTCGATTATCCGCGACCACATCATGGAACACATGGTTGCGACCCAGCAGCTTAACAATGCACAGCACGGTTTCCGCCCCAAACGCTCTTGCGCAACCCAACTGTTGGTAACAATCGATGACTGGACCAAGGCGATTGAACGAGGAAAGTCAGTGGACGCAATCTACTTGGACTTCTCAAAGGCCTTCGACACGGTACCTCACCAGCGACTACTGTGCAAGCTGAGGGCCTACGGAATAGGGGAGAGGCTGCTGCGCTGGGTGGAGAGCTTTCTGGTGGGCAGAAGGCAGAGGGTCATCCTGAACGGTGCGAAGTCCAGCTGGGCACCTGTCAAGAGTGGAGTACCACAAGGATCCGTGCTTGGGCCACTGCTGTTTGTAATCTATGTGAATGACCTTCCTGATGCTGTGCAGTGCAACATACAGATGTTTGCAGACGACACCAAAATCTACCGTTCACTGAGTAGCTCGTCAGACGCTGAAAGGTTGCAGGCGGACTTGAACGCAGCCATCGACTGGTCAGACATGTGGCAGCTCCACTTCAACGCAGAAAAGTGTAGAGTTCTGCACGTTGGAAGGGCCAGCGAAGGTCAGAGGTACTCCATGGGTGATGCACAGTTGGATGAAACCACCGTTGAGAAGGATCTTGGTGTCCTGGTCGACAGTGAGTTGAAGTTTCGGGAGCACGCTGCAGCTGCGGTGTCGAAGGCCACACGTGTCCTGTCCGTGATTCGCAGATCTTTCGAATCCATCGACGCAGAAACGCTCCCAGCTCTTTACAAAACACTGGTCAGACCTCACCTGGAGTACTGCAACACTGTCTGGGGCCCATTCAGTCGAGCGGACCAACAACGAGTGGAGAGGGTTCAACGGAGAGCTACCAAGTTGATACCAGCGATCAAGAACCTGCCGTACACTGAGAGGCTCCGACGTCTAGGTCTGCCGTCACTCTACTACAGGAGGCGACGAGGAGATATGATCGCGATA